CCATAGACAGACCGGCTACTTGACCGTTTTACCCTGCCATAGCCTTAACCTGCCTTTGTCTAAACATTACTAAACAGAACTAAGCATGATACCAAGGCCTCCTGTTCTCCTCTGACTCCTGAGTCAAACACATACCCTTTCTTGTAGGTCTGAGACTTTACTAACTGAATAATCATGCCTCCTTAGGCTGCCTATAACTCAGATGCCTTCTTGGATCTGTTCACATTCATTCATCTGTCACTCATTTACTCATCATTTATTCAATAACCATTTACTGAGTACCCTCTATGTGTTAGTTGTTGTGCTAAGTGCTGGAATACATCTGTGAACATAACCCAGACTCTGTCTTTGAGGATCATACTCCTTAGTTGGGGAGATGACCATGAAAATGGCAATTTCAAAACTGTATGATAAATACTAGATAGGGATAAGTAGGTGCTAAGGGGACACATCAAAAAGGTGTCCTATCTGATCGTGGGAAGCAGAGAACACTTCCTTTGAACACCCAGGTTTAAGCAAAGACCTGAAGGAAAAGTAGGAGAAAGGCAGGAGACTTAAGGGGGGCAGGGGTGTGTGATAGTCTGCAGAAGAAAAGGAGCAGGCGAAAGCCTGTAAGCAATAAGAAAATCTAGTTCAGAGAAGTGTGATTAGTTCACAATGGATGGAATATGGAGTAGAACAAAAATGAAATGATTATAGAGAGGCTCATTGTAGAGACCAGAAGGTGAAGGGCCTTGTCTGCCATGCTAAGGAGTTTGGATGTAATTGAGGTCTGTCTTAAGATGAACCCTATATACTGTGTTTGCATTTGAGTAGTCATCTACCAGATTATTCATATGCTTGTAGCTAAGCATCCAGACTTAATCCTGATTGTGTTAGTAAACTCTCAACCTTTTGGCTAGCTTTCTTACTCTATCTTTCCACAATTAAACAAAGCTGTGATGAGAACAAGTACACGGGTTGGGTCCTCTGTTTGGTAGTATTGCCTAATTTGCAACCATCTTTAGTCACACACTCCACTCCTCAATCTCTATCATCAATCTGGGCCCAAAACATACCTACAATGCTTCTATTTGACATATTTTTATTGTCTTGCTCAATTTTAACTCAAATTAAAATCTGGAACATATGAAAATATATGAGCTTACACTCATCAAATGTTTAACTACTATATGCAAGGAAATTTTTCAGTGATACAGTAATAACCAAAAAAAAAAAAAAAGACTAAACCTCCAATTTCATGGATTTAACATTTTAGAGGAAAAAGACAAACAGTATATCAGATAGTGATAATTGATGTGTAGTAAATTGTTATGAAATAATTGTTGAAAACTTAAGCAAATAAGAGCTGCTGGAGGGTGTCATTTTACTGTAGGATTGTAATATACATGTATATATACAATAGAATCATACTGCTGTACTGTAAGCATGTATCTAGTTTATTAATGACTTCAGGATTGAAAAGGTAGAGAATTCACATAACTAGTTTGAAATCATAGTCTTGAATAGTAATGTTATTGTCACATAAATGTCAGATTTCAATAATTTCTATGATTTTTAGTATATTAAATTCTATGTGTGATTATATTTTTAGCCTTATGGTATAATAAATGGGATTTTTCAGTAATCTTATCATCTAAATGCTCCTAGTTTAAATAATGTTATTCAATACATTTTTTGACTTAGGATTTGCTTTAATAAAATAATAGTTAAGCACTTCACTATTTATATTTATCTTAATTTTCATTATGAATGATGGAGAAATATTAGTACAACCTTGTGGCTAGTAGTAGGGATTTTTATAGTGAGTGGTACAAGTTCCCCAATACATGCCTAGTAGGAGTCACAACAGGGGAATGGAGGAATAGTATTTGAAGAAAGAGGAGATGAGATTTCCAGTATTGTAAGGTAGCATGATTCCTCAGAATAAAAGTAAACTATTTACAAGTAGAATGAATAAAAATTAGTGTACAATGTAGTGAAACTGAATATCAAGAATAAAGAGGCAAATATTAACAGCTACCAAAGATGAGAGACAAATTCAATGCAAAGGAGCACTAGAGACTGCAAACTTGTCATTATTACAGTGGATGGTAGAAAACAGAATTGTCTTTGTGACCTGAGAGAAATTAACTCTCAATCTAGAATTTTATTCTTGGAAAAACTATTAAAAGGCATAAATAGACATTTTATAATTAGAAAGAAGTAGGGTAAACTTTCAAAAAAATGGACCCAGAGAATTATGGAATGCAAGATAATAGTGAGCACAGATGTTGACAGAAATAAAAGATAGTATATTAATTACTGATATTAGAAAAGTTTTTAGTGTTATAAAAGGTAACATTGAGGCTCTAAATAATAATAGAAAGTATTCAGTGGGAGGAGATTAAAACTCTGAGCAACTTTAGGCTTTGCTTTAAAAATGTATATTGGTAATCATTAAAAGACTATGATCTATAGCTCCCAAACAAGTGGAAGGGTGAAACAGGAGGATCAAACACTTTATTAATCCAGTAGAAGACCAAAATAAGGAGAAAATTGCAAAGGAAATAATAGGAAATTAAAAATACAAATGTTAATATTTGCAATCCTATCTAATAAAAGGGTGATATGCAAATTAACTGTCACTCTGTCACAAAGATATTGGCACCCAGTCCCCTCAGCCCCGCTGGAGTCCCCGGTCCTGTCAGCCCCACTGGGGGCCAGTTCTTTCAGTTTCTGCAGCCCCTGGACCGGAAGTGGAAGCTGAGAGCGCGGAAACCACCAGGAATGCTGGGAATCATGGTTCTGGTGGTGGACACGTTGTGCAGTCTCCTAGACACTTGAGCAAAGTGAGCCTGGAGCAAATTACTGTTGCGGGTGGGGGATGGAAGGAAAGCAAATGTGAGAGACATAAGTAAAGTCAGAGTGTCAAGAAAAAATTAAAAGGAAGATATCCTGCAACTTCTAGGAAATCTCCACCAATGGAGCAAATTTAAAAAAAGAGCTCTATTATTCTGTGAACACCAAACCAGACTGGGCTGGTGTCTCACACAACTCGCTCATATGATTGCAAAAACAGACAGAAACTTCATTCTTTTATGTACCCAGGCAGATACAATGCATGACATGCATGATTTCACAGAAGAGGACTTAACAGCACCATTTGCTATACACCCTTTGATAAGTCACCTTTTTGGTGGCCATCTGTGTTAGTTAATGTGGGGAGCAGCTATAGGGTTAAGCCTCAGACTGACCTGTTGGCAAAGTCACAAATAAGTCCCAGCTTAGAGGGCACAGTCCTCTTAGCATAATTAGGCTTGACCTTATGACACTCCTTAGATCTTATCTGGGAAGCTAATGGGCTGAGGGAGATGCAGGAACTGCTGCCAAAACAAGTGAAACTCACAAGAACAGTGTAACTATGGTAACCACTACTTTATTTACCTCTGACTATAAAATAAAGGCTCAGCTTGCCTCTGGATCTCTCTATGTGGCCTCAGCCAGGCACAGGAAGATCCACGGATACTAAAGAGAGCTATGCTGATCATCTGAATGCTGTCTCCGTGTCCTTCATTCTTCGCCGACTCCGTCCACACCTTTGGGAACCCCTGGCCCTCTGGGGCTGGACCCCGGCATCTGGTGCTGCACAGGCTGAACAGCATTCCCCTAGGTAAGCCCCCCCATTGGGAACCCCCACACTTGGGACGGATAGGACTCCACCGTAGGGTGCTGCAGACCCCCCTGTAGAGGATAAGTAGGGTAAGAGGGTGGATAGTACAGAACTTAGGTTGAGAAGATGGGCCATACTGAGTCTAAAGAAAAAAAGACTCTGTATTGATCTTTTAACACATATGCTTGCTAGCAGAGGAGTTAAGGTTACTCCCAGTCAGACTCTCTCTATGTGGCCTCAGCCAGGCACAGGAAGATCCACGGATACTAAAGAGAGCTATGCTGATCATCTGAATGCTGTCTCCGTGTCCTTCATTCTTCGCCGACTCCGTCCACACCTTTGGGAACCCCTGGCCCTCTGGGGCTGGACCCTGGCATCTGGTGCCGCACAGGCTGAACAGGATTCCCCTAGGTAAGCCCCCCCCATTGGGAACCCCCACACTTGGGATGGATAGGACTCCACCGTAGGGTGCTGCAGACCCCCCTGTAGAGGATAAGTAGGGTAAGAGGGTGGATAGTACAGAACTTAGATTGAGAAGATGTGCCATACTGAGTCTAAAGAAAAAAGACTCTGTATTGATCTTTTAACACATATGCTTGCTAGCAGAGGAGTTAAGGTTACTCCCAGTCAGACAGAATGTTTTATACAAGAAGTATGCCCATGGCTTCCTGAGGAAGGAACTGTTAATTTAGAAACTTGGACTAAAGTAGGAGAACAATTAAAGACTTATTATAGCTTCCATGGACCTGAGAAGGTCCTGGCAAAGACCTTTTCCCTCTGGAATTTAATTCGTGACACCTTGGCACCAGAGGCAGACACGGTTAAACTTTCTCAAACTTTAAATAGTCCCTCGGCTCCACCTAGAGAGGACACATCCTTATCATCTCCAGCTCAATTTAAGAGCAATTTAGCTATGCCTACTGATCGAAAGGAGAATAAATACAATGAGCCTCATTTCCTTTCACCCCAAGATCAGAAAGATTTAGAGGAGACAGCAGTGCAGTATCATAAACATGACCCTTGGTCCTTTCCAGTCAATAGAGAGGAGAAAAGCCCTCCTATTCAAAACAGGTTCCCTAAATTAGGAAGGAAGCCTAAACCAGGTCCTCTGTCTCCTATGAGCTCCATGTCTAAATTTCAAAGGGTGATAAGAGAAGCAGAAGCTAATGGAGATCTTGAATTCTCACTCTGCTTCCCAGTTGCATATGAGAATGAATTTGGTGAGGATGATCCCACATGGGAGCCTATACCTTACAAAGTACTTAAAGAATTAAAATCTGCCTGCTCTGAATATGGACTTCTAGCTCCTTAAACACAAACCTTGGTTGAAGCCCTAGCCAGTAAATGGATGACTCCTTATGATTGGTCACAGGTTTGTAAAGCCTGTCTTTCAGGAGGCGATTACTTATTATGGAAAACTGAATATGATGATCTTGCTAAGAGAGCTGTAGCCACTAGCAAAAAATCCAGAGGAGGAATAACCCTAGACATGATATTAGGAGAAGGTGATTTTATCACGGCTCAGGAGCAAATGTATATGCCCAAAGAGGCACTTATTAAAGTAACCAGTTGTGCAGTAAATGCCTGGAAATCCCTACCTTGTACAGCAGGAAAAACAACTATCCTTACAGAGGTTAAACAGAAGGTCAAGGAGCCTTATCAGGATTTCCTTTCTCACCTCATATAGACAGTCAAGCGAGTAATCACTAATGAAGAGGCAGCTGATATCCTAATCAATCAACTGGCTTTTGAAAATGCTAACAACACCTGTCAGGCTTTATTAAGGCTGATTCGCAGAACAGGAACTATAAATGATTTTATAAAACAGTGTGCCAATGTAAGTCCTGCATTTATACAAGGTGTAGTATAGCCCTCAAGGGGGAGACATATCCTCAATATGTACAGGGCATAGGACAAGCCAGCAATAATATGGATAATAAAAGAAATATGAACTGCTACTCTTGTGGCTTACCTGGGCACTTTAGCAGAGAATGCCCAAATAAAAATAATAATACTCAGGCCAGATGGCAAGCTACTCAACAGCCTGGAAATACATCATGGAATAATATTAATCCTCCAAAAACTGTTTGTCCCCAATGTCAGAAAGAATTCCATTGGGCAAAGGTATGTAGATCAAAATACCATAAAAATGGTCAGCCTTTAAATTTTCCAAACCTCTCCCAAGGAGGTTCTATCCCATCACCTCAATCTGGAAACTTGAGAGGGGGCCAGCCCCAGGTTCCTGCAATAATAGGGGCATCAACCCTCAACCCCTTTGTAAATTTCAATCAGTCAGTGACCTCTTCAGGGCAATCCAGGCAGTGCAGGATTGGACCTCCATTCCACCACCCACGCATACTAACCCCAGACTCACCGGTAGCAGCCATTCCTACAGGTGTGTCTGGGCCACTGCCTGAGGGAACTGTAGGTTTAATATTAGGACGGAGCTCCACCCCATTACAGGGGATCTTAATCATCCCAGGAGTTGTTGATTCAGACTTCACAGGAGAAATACAGATTTTACTTTCCCCACCCACCACAACTATACAGATTCAGCTCAACCAGAGAATTGCCCAATTACTCCTGTTACCAATACATAAAATAGGGACAGCTGTTACCCAGGAAGCTAGAGGGGCCGGAGGCTTTGGATCTAGTGATGCAGCATTTTGGATACAAGAAATCCATGCTACTAGACCTACAAAAATTTTACAAATTCAGGGAAAACCAATTGAAGGTATATTGGATACAGGAGCAGATGTTTCCTGCATAGCAGGGAAGGATTGGCCCTCTTCATGGCCCACGCACACCACCTCCACTTCCCTAGTAGGACTAGGCAAGGCATCTAATGTAAAAAAGAGTTCTCAGATTTTAACTTGGGCTGATGAAGATCAACATTCAGGAACATTCTGTCCCTATGTAATTACGACTATCCCCTTTACATTATGGGGAAGAGATATCTTGTCTCAAATGGGAGTTCTATTATATAGCCCCAGTGATAGAGTAACATCACAGATGCTAGACACGGGATCTAATCAAGAAAAGGGCTTAGGAAAAGAAAGTAATACCTCACACTCCTCGACAGGATTTATAATTGGGGCCATTGCCCATAGGACTGCTGATCCCATAGTCTGGAAATCATCACAACCAGTATGGGTCGAGCAATGGCCCTTAACATCTGAGAAAATAGCAGCAGCCCGACAATTAATTGATCAGCAATTAGCAGAGGGACATATAGAGCCATCAAATAGTCCCTGGAACACACCCATATTTGTAATAAAAAAGAAATCAGGCAAGTGGAGACTTTTGCAAGATCTAAGGGCCATAAATGACACCATGGAAGATATGGGCTCCTTACAACCTGGATTGCCCTCCCCTGTGGCAATTCCACAGGAGTATTGTGTTGTTGTTATTGACTTACAGGATTGTTTTTTCACTATACCTCTTCACCCGGCTGATTGTCAAAGATTTGCATTCAGCATACCATCAGAAAACTTTAAACAGCCTTATCAGAGATATCAATGGAAGGTTCTCCCACAAGGGATGAAAAATAGTCCTACATTATGTCAAAAGTTTGTAGATCAGGCATTGCAAGTTATTAGAAAGAAATTTTCAGATCTATATCTTATTCATTATATGGATGATTGGGGAAGGGATATCTTGTCTCAAATGGGAGTTCTATTATATAGCCCCAGTGATAGAGTAACATCACAGATGCTAGACATGGGATTTAATCCAGAAAAGGGATTAGGAAGAAAAGAGCAGGGAAGACTATATCCTATAGAATTAATACCTCACACTGGATATCAGGATTTATAATTAGGGCCATTGCCCCTAGGACTGCTGATCCCATAGTCTGGAAATCATCACAACCAGTATGGGTTGAGCAATGGCCCTTAACATCTGAGAAAATATCAACATCCCAACAATTAATTGATCAGCAATTAGCAGAGGGACATATAGAGCCATCAAATAGTCCCTGGAACACACCCATATTTGTAATAAAAAAGAAATTGGAGACTTTTGCAAGATCTTAGAGCCATAAATGCCACCATGGAAGATATGGGCTCCTTACAACCTGGATTGCCCTCCCCTGTGGCAATTCCACAGTAGTATTGTGTTGTTGTTATTAACTTACAGGATTGTTTCTTCACCATACCTCTTTACCTGGCTGATTGTCAAAGATTTGAATTCAGCATACCATCAGAAAACTTTAAACAGCCTTATCAGAGATATCAATGGAAGGTTCTCACACAAGGGATGAAAAATAGTCCTACATTATGTCAAAAGTTTGTAGATCAGGCATTGCAAGTTATTAGAAAGAAATTTTCAGATCTATATCTTATTCATTATATGGATGATATTTTACTAGCTCATAAAGATCGGGCTACTTAATTTACAGGAAATTCTTACACAGACCATCTTTGCTTTAGAAGAACATGGTCTAAAAATAGCCCCAGAAAAGAGTCAGACTGAACCTTCTTTTTCCTACTTAGGCAGAATTTACATACCTCTACTATCACCCATCAGCCTTTACAATTAAGAAAAGATCATTTAAACACATTAAATGATTATCAGAAACTATTAGGTGATATCAACTGGGTCAGGTCATATCTAAAAATAACCACTCTTGACTTAAAACCTCTATTTGACATTTTAAAGGGAGATTCTAACCCTAAGTCTCCCCGACAATTAACTGTAGAAGGAGAAAAGGCTATAGCAAAAATAGAACAGGCCATCAATAAACAGCAACTACAGTATCTAGATTATTCCAAATCTTGGGCCTTAATTATTCTAGCCACTAAATATACTCCTACAGGATGTTTATGGCAGGAAGGACCATTAGAATGGATACATTTACCTGTCACTCCTAGGAAGATTGTACCATCCTATCCTTCCCTAGTGGCCACGCTCATTATCAAAGGTAGACGATGCAGTATCGAACTCTTTGGAAGAGAAGTTACTGAGATAAAAATAACTTATAAAAGAGAACAATTAGACACACTATTACAATTTGAAGAAGAGTGGCAAATAGCTATAGGTAACTTCCCAGGACAAATTTTACATCATTTGCCAAGATCACCTATATTGCAATTTCTCTCCCTACATCCGTTTATATTTCCTATTAAATGTTCAAAAGAGCCATTATCACCTCCTGCCTCCTTAGTATTCACAGATGGCTCCTCTAATGGTAAGGCAGTAACAATCATTGACTCAATAACCCATGTTCAACAAACCCTAGAGACGTCAGCCCAGAGAACAGAGCTTTTGGCAGTCATTTATGCTTTTGAACAATTGCAACAGGTTCCCTTTAACTTGTACACTGACTCTCAATATATAGTTAAATTATTTCCTCATATTGAGACCGCCTCTCTCCCACAAGGAAGAACAGCCATTTTCTCTTTGTTAACTCAGCTACAAACTTACATTCATAGGCAAGAAAAGGCTTTCTATATTGGACATATTAGAGTTCATTCCTGCCTACCAGGACCCTTAAGCAAAGGAAATTATCAGGTGGATTTACTAACTCGCCCAGTAGTTTGTACAGCTCTAGAAGAAGCCCGGCGGTCTCATGCCATTCACCATCAAAATGCTTCTGCTCTCCGTCTATATTATCGCATATCTAGAGAAGCTGCTCGAAGTATTGTGCGTGACTGCGGCCATTGTCCTACTCATTTTCCTAGCCCTGCTACTGGAGTTAATCCAAGAGGACTTAGACCCTGTGACTTATGGCAGATGGATATTACTCATGTCCCATCTTTTGGCAAACTTTGCTATGTGCATGTTTGTATTGATACCTTTTCTCATGTTATCCTTGCTTCTGCACGTACAGGAGAAGCCTTTAAAGATGTAAGTCAACATTTATTCCAATGTTTTTCCTACCTAGGAATACCAAGGGCACTTAAAACAGACAATGGGCCTGCCTATACCTCTAGAGCTTTTAAAAACTTATGCTCTACATTCGGCATCGCACATACTACAGGAATACCTTACAATCCTCAAGGCCAAGCAATAGTAGAAAGGGCTCACCAAACTTTAAAAACACAAATTAAAAAATTACAAAAAAATGAGTTTAAATATTCCTCTCCTTATCATGTTCTACAACATACTCTATTTGTAATTAATATACTAAGTGTAGATTCTGAGGGAAATTCCCCGACGTACAGACATTGGAACCCTGATCTAACTAAACCTAAAGCCCTCGTCAAATGGAGAGACTTCCTTACAGGAGCCTGGAAGGGACATGATGTACTTTTAGCCTGGGGGCGAGGGTATGCTTGTATATTTCCACAGGACATAGACTCACCTGTGTGGATTCCAGACCATCTAGTCCGACCCCATGTCACACCGCCCTCCGCCTCCGCCTCACCTTCTTCTTCCCCCATATCATCCATATCGGCCGACCCAGAGGGCACAGCTGACTCCTCCCCGGATGCTGACACCACCATCAAGCGAGGCCCTGATGGACCCATTGATCCAGCCGTTCAATGTGCTGACGCTTCGGGAAGCCCATCGCCAGCAACCCCGCCCGCTAGCCAGATCAACGAGGACAACCAAACCACTGACTTGGGGTCAGCTGAAGAAGCTAACAACTGAGGCCCAGCAGATGGTAGAAAAGCAAGAAGTGGAAGCTACTCCCTCAACCATGTTTCTGGCTATGTTAGCATTGGTTAGCTGCCAGTCTTGCGCAGCCAAGTCCGAGGACTCTAAGTAAATCAGCAAAAGAAACTTTCATTTAGTAGAAAAATGTTACTGTAGTTTGATTTCTCACTTATTACTG